GTTTCTAAGTTCGTTTCAAAAAAATTTTCTGTTGGTGCTAATATCGATAAAACAGTTGGTGTTGATTGTATTAACGTTCAAGGAGATTTTGTCCATGAAATAGCTGATATACTTGCTGAACAATTTAAAATTGACCCAGCTAATATTGAGTGCTAATTGATCGTTTTTGGATTAAGTAATAAAACCAATAAAGTTAGTTATATAATTTTTTAATACGTTCTCTATAAAACCGATAGAGTCTTTTAAACAAAGACCAATGTAAATTAACCAAAGACATTATCAATAGGTGAAAAGGTTAGTTCAATCTCTGGTTTTTGAACTTGAAACTCTCTTAGTAAATCAGCAATGGTATCATCAGGATTTAATAAACAGTTGTTAAAGTATAACCTCTATTTTGTAATTAATTATTTTGAGTCACATTATATAAGTTAGAAAAACAAACATAGGTAGTAGTTGTATCTCTTAATTGTTTATTTATAAATAAAATAATGTGTTCAACTGTTTTATCTTTTGACATTTTATATCCTTTTGGGAGTGCTTTTCCTCCTGGGATATTTATTCCTTTAAATCGAAGAATAGCTTTTCCATCTGATCCAATAACTGGTTTAGTTGGTTGTGGTTGAGTTTGATTACTTTCCAAAGAAGGATGAGGTGTTTGTTCATTAGATTTTGGTTGTTCGATTTGAGTATCTGTCATATTGTTTTTTAGATTGGATTTTTAGAAGTGATAAGAAATTAAGAGAAAATAAAGTTTTATAGAAAAAAGAACTTATTAATATTTTCTTCATAAAATAAATAAAAAATGAAGGAAAGAAATTCTTTTGATAGAAAAAAAGAAATCTCAAAAAAACTGAATTATAAAATTAATGTCAAGAAATCAACCTGTTATTTCTTCATCTGAAGATAACTCTGGATCTAGTGATTCTCAAATATCTGGAACTGAAATTAAAACACAAAAACGACAAGGATTTATGAGTAGACGTAATCGTCGAAGTCTGAATTCTCAACCATCTTCTCCTTTCTTTACAAAAGACAACGGTCGACCAATTACTATGACAGAAATATCTGGTAGTGAATCAGCAAGTGTTTCAGAAAGTGGAAGGAATGAAGTTGCTTCTGTTGGAGGAGGAGAATGGAATAGAATTGCTGTAGATAAATTGTCACAAAAAAGTAGAAGACCAACATATGTCATGAAGAAATTAAAACAAGCTGGTATTTCTTCAGAAAGTAAACTTGAAAATGAAGTTGATCTAGTTACACAACCTATTATTAATGATGACGAATTTATTATTACTAATCAATTTAAGAGAGTTCGTGACTCTGAAGATGGAGAATTTATTGATGATGAAATTGAACAAAAGAAATCATTAACAAATGTTTCAAACAAAAAAGAATATGATGAGAAAGAAGAGTTATTCAGACCAAATTGGATTAAAGCAGAACAATATGATTTTTCTTCAAGAGGAATAAAACCACGAGCAATTTTTGCTGAAAACAATGCATGTTTAATGATTGATTCACATAATTGTTTTTTGTTTAGAGATAATGATTTTCATATGATTCCTAATTTATATAAAGAGACTATTCAAATGGGAATTATTGATCCAACAGGAGTTCATATTATTTTATTGTATTCAGGAAATAAGATGTCATATTGTGAACGTATTAAATTATCTCCAGTATTTTTTAATGTCTCTTATCCAGAAGAAGTTATCAAAGCTTCTGGAAATAAAGAAATTAAAATTTCTACTATTCGTTTTGAACAAAAAGCATCAATGAACACCGAGCTTAATTTGTTTGTTGGAACAAATACTGGATGTATATTTTCATTAACTGTCCATATTAAGAAAAATCCAATTCAAACTACTTCAGTTTCTGTTTATCCACTTCCATTTGTTAAAGATGAAATTAATGAACGGTCTTTATCTCAAAGTGGTAAACATATAAAGTCAAAAATTGAATTAGTTAAAGATATCACTAATTTTAAAAATGAAGGGGAAATTACAGATATTTTTTGGGTTATTGGTTCTATTTGTACAGTTATTGTAGCATGTACTAATAGTGTTGTATTTCAAATTATTATTGAAACAAAAGGTTCCAACAAATTTGTTTATGTAAGTGAAGTATCAAATAAACCACCTTATGAAATTATTGAAGGAAGTAAAGGAATGATGATTGTTCAATATGAAGGAATGACAGAAGATGCAATGAACTATCGATTAAGTTATTTAACTGGACAATATAAATTAAAAGATGGAAGAATTAGAAGGTCATTATTCCGTGGAAGTTATGCATTTTTTAGTAATGATAAAGATATTGATAAATTTAATGAAAAAGGAATTTCAAATGATTACGTTGATTCAGACTTTGTTATTGAAACACCTAATCAAGTTTATCAATTATATCCAAATTCATTAGTTTGCTTTGATTATGACTACAACACTAGTTGTACTAAACTAGTTGAAGGAAAATCAATTTGTATGACATTAGAAAAGAATAATCCAGTTGAAAGGTATATTTGGGTATGTACTGAATATTCATTATATAAGATACATGCTGTTAAACCAGATTACGAAGAATTTTTTGATGTTCAACTTATTCAAAATATGATGAATGATGAAACCTTAATATTTGTATTATTAAGAGCATTAGATAAAGTTATTTGTGATTCAACAAACATCAAGTCTCGATTACGAATTTCATTATTATATACGTGGTGTGTAATATTAATATTGAATAATGTCAGAATTCAAGACCAAAGAGAATTATTAAAGAAAAAATTAACTTATCTCCTTAAAAAACGATTTTATGCTAAGACAATTATTGATAAAGAAATTATTCGTTATTTAATAAGAAATTGTGGTGATAGAGAATTATTTATTTGGTATTGTGAAACAAATAATGATATGGTTGGATTACTTAATTATTACATAGAAAATTGTGAATATTCAGAAGGTATTGAAGTATTAATTAAAATGTATTCTTCTGAAGAAGCTGAAGAACGAGAAGAGTGCATTCAATTAACTAAAAAATATTTTGGAGTATTATTTAGAGAAGAGCCATTATTATTTAATGAATATTTAAAAACAAGAGATATTTTTGGTGAAGAATCATTATACACTGTTTTAAGTTTAGTTGGAGAAGAGATTGAATTTAATATTCTTCAACCATTTATTAGAAATTTAATTAACCAAAGAACTCATGATGGAATGGATGTTAGTGAATTATTAGAAATTTTGTTTTGGAAATACCTTAAAGAAGAACCAGGAGCATCTGCTGAATTAGATAAAAATATGAACAGTTTATTATTTTCAAGAATTAATGTTCCTATTACAAGCATTTATATTATTAGAGAATTAAAAAGAAGAAGGATGTATCGTTCATTGTCTTGTATTTATGAAAATAATGGAAATTATGCAGAAGCAATTGAAATGAAAGGATTAATGATTAAACAAAGTGATAAACAATTGTCTCAACTTCAAGATGAAATTGATAAAATGTTTGAATTAGTAGGAAAAGAACCAAATGAACAAAATAGAGAAACTTTAGTTGTTCAAGCATTAAAATGGTTTGTTGATGCATGTGATACTGGTGTTGGAGAAAAATATGTTTTAGATGTTATTAAAAATCATAAAATATCAATTCAATCAGTATTAGCATCATTACCATTAATTCTTCCAAGTTTTAGACAATGGAAATTAAAAGATATGATGGAAATGATTGATGCTAAATTTAAAGAATATAAAACAAATGGAGATGATTTATTAAGTATGGTTTTTCTTTCAAATTCACAAGTTGCTGAAATGTCTCAGAAACTTGCTCAAAAAGAATTATCATTTGCTGAACCATCATTCCAGTACGTTGTTTATTCTGATGATGATGTATGTAGTATGTGTAGAAAAAAATTAAATCCTGCAGAGTCTCAACTTATTATGTTTTGTTGTGGTCATAAATATCATTGTGACTGTATTATCAATGAACTTAATCTACACAAAACTCCATTTGCTGTAAAAGTTCTTACTGAGTATGAAAAAGATGAAGATCTTAATGTATTAGCTAATGAATGTTTGTTATGTAGTTGTCATGCAACGGAATTAACTCGATTCTCACTTGATGAAACTAATGACGATTCTTGGAATCTTTAATCCAAATTCATTCAAACTAAAATCTCCTTGTTTTTTTTATCTTTTAGTTTAGGTTCCAGAAATTGATTTTTTTTTAAACCAAAGTATGCTTTAATTTTCATCAATACCACAAAACAAAACTTATTAATTTGATTAATTAATATATAACAAGAATAAACTCTTGATATTTGACACATTTTTATTTCACTTTAGTTGTCATTGTAACAGTTATATGTCCTTCATAAAGAAGTATATATATATCATTAAAATAAAAATTACCAAATAACTTAAACTTCAAAGAATAATATAAATACATGACTTAAATAAAATGTAGCCAAGTAATTGCCTAAAATTCTAAACGATTAATGAAAATTAGGTTAACAACATAACAAAGGAACAATATTATAAAAAAGAATTTAAAAGAGTTAAATCAGGTTATATTACGTTATATATATTTAGATATAATATAAAATATATTATTTATAAAGATTATGAAAAAGAAATATATGACTAATGAAGTAGTAAGAATATCAATTAAAAAGGAAATATAATCATCTGAAAATTCATTAATTAAATTACTTCCAGAATCTAACTTAAGAATATATGCTTTATTTTGATATCTTGGTATCTAACATTTGTTATGAATAAAACAAAAGGCACTTCAAACAAAACAACCAAAGTTAAATTAGTCTTTTTCAGCATAATTAGACTAACATATTTAAACTCTGATAATTTTTAATTATAAAGTATACTAATTAGAACAAATATTGATTTAATCCAAATTTAAAATAAATACAAATGAAAGAAAAATAATAAAAAAGAACTATTAATTTAATAATTTGTTGCAATAGTCAGTAATTTCACCTGCATCATTTCCATAAACATTTAAGATTTCTTTTACTGATTTCTCAATTGAAGGTGTTTTGGGTACTTTGCAAAACAAGACAAGAAGAACGAGAATAAGGAAATCATATTTTTCCAAATTACTTTCATCTTGAATCAATATTTCTTGATGAGAAATAATCCATGGAATGATTTGGTCGTTTGCAAGTGAAACAATAGAAGGAACAAGTTCATTTGAAGAATCGACTTCAGAAATAATATGAATAAGAGAATACAATGACTCGACATTTTCTGGTGTCAATTCATTAACTCTTTTCATAAATTCAATAACTATATTTCCAAGTGTATCTATTTCATTTGCATTAATTAAATGTAATTCACATAATCCAAACAATGCTTTTGCAGCTGTGTGTTCATAACAAGAGTCAGTATAATCTCTCATTAATTGTACAAAACGATGAACAAAATGACTTTTATTATCTTCTGCTTTAAGAGTATCGAATTTAACATTCTTAATTACATCTACAAAAATTGATGCAATATCAGGTGTTTTATCACAATATGCTTTTACTGCTTTAACAAGATAAGAAAGTCCCGACTCACATTGACTCAATGATTCTTCAATACCAGTTTTTTTCATTATCACTTCATATGAAAACATCTTTTGTAATACAACAAGTCCCCAATACAATGCAGTATCTCTGTCATTTTTAATTTCACTTTTAACTTTTGGAGGTTCATCAACTTCTTCAATATCAAGGATTGTACATCTACCAATAGTAGCAATCACATTTTGAACAGATAATCTCTTGATATGTTGATAAACAAGATTAGATTGTGTATTTGATGTTATTAATCGAATCAATATTAATGCCATAGCCTTTAATCCAAGAACACCTAACATTTGTGGATGTTGTCCTCCTGAACTATCTGCTCCAAGATGAGCCAATAATGGTTGTGTTGGTAGTGCTAGAAGAACTGAATCACACATAATAATACTTTCTTCATGAAGTTCTTTGACAACACTTAGACATGAAATAAGTGTTTGAATAGCAAAATATCGAACATCTACACTACCATATTTTGAAGGTTTATTCTTGATATAATTTTGAATAATTCCAAAATAAATATTTGTAGTAAGTAATTCCCTTGCAACTTCTTCATAATGAGCACAATTAGCAATAATAGCATGTAGATGAACTTCAGTTCTAATATCACATTCTTTATTTAATTTTTCTATAGCAAGATGACATACCTTCTTTATTGTCTCAATATTGTTAACTGATTTAATTAATCCAGCAATACACCGTATTGTTGCATGTAATGATGGTACATCATTTTGAATTGGTTCTCTAAGAAGATTTTCTAAAACTTGATTACAATCAATCCCATTCTTTACAAGTAAATTACGATGAGCCAATGTTCCTACAGAAGATAGTAATGATAATCTTTTACTTGGAATCATTTGGTTCATTGTTTCTGATGGAGTTGATGCAAGTAAAGAGCAAAGTTTCTTTGATATACGTGGTGCTAATAATGGACACATTAACCCATGAAGAAGAAGATATGACACAGATTCTATTAACTCAGACGATGGAGAATCTAAGAGAGGAATTAATTTTTCATGCCATTTTTGTTGAATTAAAGGTACTTGACATGCTTCAGAAGTAGAAAGAAGTAATAACAGATGTTCAGGTATATATGGTTTTGTTGTAGATTGATCAATAATTGGAAGTAATGCTATTAGTACTTCTTCAAGATTGTCATTTAATTCGTCTGGATAATCTGATGTTGGAATTGAATCTTCAGGTTGTTTTGGTGTTTTTTCTAGTTTATTTTGTTCAGGAGATTCAAAAAGATAAATGTATTGCCGTACAACAGCAAGTCTCTCTTCAAGGGTTTGTATGTGAGAAAGATACTTATCAAGAGTATCAGTCATAAGAAATTAGAATAAAATACAAAGTACTCTATTATAGGGTTTACACTTCACACCAACCATTTTTTTTAATTTCTCAAATGATAATTGTTGATATAGTGATTAAACAATACCAATTTATATTTTTTATTTACATAAAGAATCTCTGAAGAATTTAGCATATCTGATAAGGGTAATTTTAAAACCAACAAGAAGATGAATAAAACAAGACAAGGATAATAATAAAAAGAAAAGTAGAATCAAAAAAAAAAAAGGAAATAATATTTTTATTATAAAAAACCCTTCAATTAAACCTAAAACTTTTAACATTCAAAAGATGGCAGCAAAACCAGAATTCCAAGAAATTAAACAACAACAAATTCACAATGAAGATGAACTTAGAGAAATTCATGTTCCAGGACAACGATTTAATTATGTTAAAGAAAATTGGATAGGAATTTATCAACCGATTGTTTCACAACTAAAATTGAATATTCGAATGAATCCATCAAAGAAAATTATTCAATTAAAAACTAATGACAAAAGTCAATTAGATTCTCTTCAAAGAGCATCTGATTTTATTAATGCCATTGGAAAAGGGTTTGAAGTTAAAGATGCTATTGCCTTACTTAGAATGGATGATATATTTGTTGATTCATTTGAAATTGAAGATGTTAAAAAATTACATGGAGATCATTTAAATCGTGCTATTGGACGTATTGCTGGTAAAGATGGTAAAACTAAATTTTCAATTGAAAATACAACACATACTCGTATTGTAATGCAATATAAGTTTGTTTTATATTTTATTTTAAAGAATATTTCATTATCAATTGATTAATATTGGTATTTATTAATTATAGAAAGATTCATATTATGGGAAGTTATGCTAATATCAAAATTGCTCGTGATGCAATCCAGGATCTTATTCTTGGTGCTCCACCAGGAAAAGTATACAATAACCTTCGTACTATTGCATCTAGAATGGATTCTGCTCTTTAATTTGATTGTTTGTTTTAAAAGTTGGTATTTGGTTAATATGTTGTGTATTGTCTAATGAAATTTCATCATCATCAACTTGTTTTTATTATCTTTAAGACTGTGAATAAAGACTAGAGAAGAAGAAAATACTGAGACTGTCAAATCAAGTCTGAATAAATAAAAAATGATTTAATAAAAACTAAGGTATTGGTGATAAGTTCTTATGATTACATAATTACTTTTTAAGATTTTATTAAGTTAACATGCTATTTCTTTTAAACAATTTTATCTAACAGATATAGATTATTAAAAAGGATTCATACAACAAGTATAACAGAAATTTGATGTATGTCAGTTATGAATTATGTGAAAATAATAGAGATAATATGAAGAAAGATTAGAATCTTCTTATTTTGTTGTAATTTCTTGAATGAACTAGCTGAAATAAACATTGAGTAATTGAAAAGAACTAAGGGATTGGTTAAATTTTGATGGATTTTACAATGTGATATTGTAGTTAGTTGTAGAATTTATAATGAGTATCAAAGTCTTTTAAGTTTATTGATACTTTAAAATTAAGTTAGAACATTGTATAAAACATTCTTGGTAAAGTAAACCACAATACATAGAAATTTGTTTCGATATATAATAAAATAAATGAAAAGGAGGTGTGATTGTTTGACATAAAAGAACAACAAATAAGACTTTTGAAATTCTTTATTAAAACATAGATGGAAGAAAGTAATAATCATTTATAAATAACCTTTTTGTGTTAAAATGTTATTAGATCAATTAAGAAAGACTTTAGTATTAGAGTCTTAAGAAAGTATTTACTAAATTCAAGATTGGTTATACAGTTATAAGAAGACTTTCAAAAGAGAATAAATTCAAATCTTGATTCAAAAATTAATATGATAATTGTTAAGAAATAAGACAAAAGGAAATAATATGAATAATAAATAACATGTTTATGTTACATGAAATTAAATGAATGATAATATAATAAGGACTAGTAAAACAGTAAATGATAGAAAGAAAATTATAACTAACAAATATATCACAGAAACATAATATTTAAAATACTTTTTAATAAACTTAAACAACAAAAAAAGTAATTATTTAATTTTTAATTTTTGTTTTATTGAAGTATAGTTTAATATAGGAAATAAATTATATGATATACTAAAGAGAAATTGACACGAATTTTGTTTTAAGACTCATCTCAATAACAAGTATAATGAATTGTTTTATCTGTGTTAGTCTTTTATTTGTTGTTTGTCATGCATTTGAACTACACCCGTTTGTCATTAATAAAGGAAAGCATTTATATCCTATTCAATTAAAAGGTAATGAAACAATACAAATTTTCCATACAGAACGAATTTATGAAGAGATTAAAGTATATAAAACAACGCATGAAATATACATAGAATCACCAATAACACTAAACGCAGAATATTCTATAATTCAATCAAAAGAAGAATGTGTTTGTAAGAAATGTCAATATGATTGTAATAGAGAAACTAAAGAATGTATGGTAGGAACATTAAAAAGTGGTACATTTACATTTAACTCATTTCTTGATTTGTTAATGCCTACAAAATCATTGTTTATTTTCATTATCTTTGCTGTGTTAGTTGTTGTAAGTGTTTGTATGGTTTGTACAATGACATGTCGATTTGTTGATTGCTTTACTGATATCTTGTGTAACAAAGCAAAGGCACGACAAAAAAGAGTTGAAAAAGAAATGAGAAAAAATATGAAAGAATCTGCTAAACAACACGCATTAGAACTCGCTGCTTTGTAGACGTCTTTTCAAAAGAGTTCAGTCATTTATTAAATTTTTATAAAACAATTGAATACTTCAATTTAGAATTCAATTAAAAAATATCATAAACAAAATAAAACTAGAAACGGTTCAAGCTATAATGAGCTTCATATACATTATGTTTGAGTACAGAAATAAAGGTTGACAAAACCTTGTTTGAAAGGGGTTGTGTTGCCATAATCCATAGGGGGATTGATTGTCCTCCAAATGAGTATGATGGTTGTTTATAATTTTTATCTATAATTGAAAATCCATTGCGATAATACCATTTTCTTAACCGATGATGAACTTCATCTTCAGTTGGTTCAACTTCAAGAATCCACAAACCACCAATTGTTTTGAATAAATGTTCAATTACTTGTTGTCCTATCTTTTCACCTCTGAACTCTGGAGAGATTGCAATATGCTCTATAAAATGAAACTGTTTCATCAAATACCAATAAACAACAACTCCTACAATTTTTCCATTATAGTTTACTGAAATAAAATAATGATTTGGTTATGTGTCAATAACTTGTTTAAGTTGAGAAGTACCTCTAACGAGATTATCCCCAAAAGAAGTTTGAAATAATTGATTTAACTTTTGTTATTATTCGTGTAACGTTGATTGAATTTATGCTTTTATTATCCTAATAATAACATTATATTTATTATATTTATTGATAGGATGAATATTTGTTTTTAGTGTTGTATTTTTAGGATATAATTCAAAGATATAAAAATGATGGATGTTGGTTAAATGTTTTAGTACTATATTAAAATCTAAATACCAATTATCTTTCATAATGAATTAATATCATCTGATTTGTTAGTCATACTAATCGTATTCAGTTTTAAATTTATTAGATTTTATTTTAATTAAAATTGAACTTTTATTTATTAAGAAGTGTTCTAATAGAACCAATTAATAATAATGAAATTTCATATATCAATTAAAGATAATGCAATATAAATCGGATTAAGTATAAAAAAATAATTATTTATCAGTCATCAGAGCGTTGTTTAATATTCTTCACAATGATATATGAATTAACACGTTTATATAAATCTTGTTTTATCACAATTAATGAATAAACTACTTATTATTTAAATTTTACTTTCTTATATTAATATTCATAATATACTAATTCAGTAGATATCTTTGACAATTTCGTTTCATTCATAGTTATTTATAATAAATAGAATTTAATCTATTATTTAGTATTAAATTAGAAGTTGTTCAGAATAGAGTTAATTCATTTAATAGTAAATTTAAATAACATTAATTAAAATTCAAAATAAATTAACACCAGAATGTTAATACAATAATTTATTTTTAATTTCTTTTTTTGTGATTTACATAAATTTATTACAACAAATTATTGTATTTATTTCTCTAAATTTAATTTAATCATTCTGATACAATTGTTATATATACCTTGTTAATAATGAATTATCACTAAATAAAAAAAAATAGAGGAAGTTATTATAATATTTCTGATAACATTCTTTTTTTATTTCATTTATATATTTTTATTAATGTTATCATTAACTAAAACAGCTATTTTAAATATCATTATTTAATTCAATATTTCAATACTTTTGAATTGTAGATTTTTTATTAACCATTTCATTATTTATTTAGATAAAACAATTGATAATTCATTAATAATACTAAACAATGTTTTAAATATTTTAGTAAAAGTATTTGATTATCTTTTTAAATTATGATTTGTATAGTTTTGATATATCAATACTAATGTTATTTTCTTCTAATTCAAAACTTTAATACATATTATTATCATTCTTATTTTATAATAAGATTCATATTCATCAATGAATTTAATATAATATGAATATTATTTATTTCAATACTCTTATTTATTTTGAATATAATATTATATTAAATTCAATTAAATATTTCACTTTTTGGTTTATTCTTATAATTAATAGTTATTTTGAGGTACTGATAAATCAATTCAATCGATAAACATGTTTATTGGTACTTTATTCTTCAAATAGAATGATATTTAGAATATTTACTTATCAAAATATTTTCATTTTACTTGAAAAAGGAATCAAATCTAATTACTGATTATTATCACAATTGAACTCTTGATTTTTTTTACTTCAGTTTGTTTTAGTAATATTATTAAGAATCAAATGAAGAAAATAATAGAAGAAAGTAATAAAGATGAAGAAATACTAAGTAAAGCAAAGAATGAGTTAATAGATAAAATCATTTTAATTGAAGAAATGATAATGAAAGATAAAATGTTACGATTTCCAGAAGAAATAGATAAAATTAAAAGAAGATTTAATAAGAATAAAGAAGAATGGACAAGATATTACAGTGATTATTCAGAAAGAAAGAAGATAATAGAAAATACACAAGGAATGATTAAAAATGAAGAAATCGAAGAAATAATAAAATGGACAAGAAGAAAAATAGGAAATATAGTATTTGATTCAAATAATGATAATTGGAAAGTTAATACATCAGTATTTGGAGAAAAAATAATAAATAAAGAACATATAATAATTATTATTGAAGATATTGAAGGAAATAAATTTGGAGGATATATTAATTGTAAAATTGATAAAATTGATGAATATATAAATGATCAAAAATCATTTTTATTTTCAATTGAAACAAAAGGAAGAATACAAGGAATGATGAAATTTGATATTAAAGAATCAAAATATGTATTTTATTTATATGATCAATCAGATGAATTGTTATTTGGATTTAGATTTAGATATGATATTTATGTTTATAAAGAAAATAATAAAACAATAACATATTGTAA